TCTACACCCTGTATCTCCGAATCTAAGCATTTTAGAACGTACATTTATACGAACTTTTTCGCTTATTTTTATCTGTAGAATATGCTATCGAAGTTTCCGGTATACAGTTCGGACCACCCTGTAAACAGGGTGTAGTTTTATTTTTAATGTAAACTAGAAACTGAAGAATTGGAACTTGAAAAAAAAAATACTTTTTAAAATGAACGATATTTCATGTCATATTTTTTTTTTGAATAGAAAACCCCTACGTGAAGGAATCTAAATGCATTTATATTTTGCTCAGCTGTGGTACGACCGACTTTTAAAAAACAGTACGCGCCTACCAGTAGATCAGTAGGTTAGGTACACGCATACGTTTAAATTTGTGTCTCCATGAACGGCGATAGTACTTATAAAGTCGTGGTACGACTAGGGATGGCAAACTTTAATTTATATATCGATATATAGCAAAATGTATATCGATAGCCATTGGCGTAACTACAGGGGTGTCCGGGGGTGCGCCGGGGTCCCCCCCCCCGGTACTGCTGGGCTTTATTTGCTTGTGATGCAATATATTTTGTTTAGTTAATATTATTAAATAAGGATTCTTGCCACTTAACTGCTGATATAGAAATTTAATTCTACGCTGTGTCTGTCATAATGTGGATCAACCTGCTCTCACTACCGGTTTCGGAGCCCTACTCCATCATCAGGTGAGCTTGGGCAGATCCACAAAATGACAACCACAGCGTAGAGATAGTTAAATCCGACTTGTCGGAAAGTGTCGGTTAGATATTAAGTCCCGAACGGGAGATAAAATTAAATTTCTATATCAGCAGTTAAGTGGCAAGAATCCTTATATAATTTTATTATATACCTATACTGCAAGAAATTTGTTTTCTAGTTAATATTATTTTGTTGTATTCAAAAAATGTGTTAAATTTTTATTTTTTTGGAAAATTTGTAGGTATTTAAGTAATCTACGGGAACACGGTTTGATAACCAAGTCTATGAAATTTATTGATAGAGAAATTCATGTAAAAAACGTTTTATTCAAAAAATGTGTTTTTTAAAATTATTTTTCATTTTTAAAGAAACAAAAGCCCTAGACCCCCCCCTGGGCTCAAACGCAGGCCACCCCCTCAGGCCCACCCCATCCAGGATAAATGCTAGTTACGCTAATGTCGATAGCTAAAGAACAGTGCCAGAGACACAGTATCTGAATAAGTTAATTTCTTTAATTTTCCATCAATAACAAATTTTGAGGTACCTAGATGAAATTTTGATGAATTTTTCGGAAAAATAATTGGTGATGAGTCCATTAGTCAGTCAAATATTTATTTAGTGTTTATGTGTTAATAAATAATCAATTAATAAGATATATTTTAGAACGGTAGAAAAAGCTGAATGTGATACAGGGTGGTCCGAACTGTATACCGGAAACTTCGGCAGCATATTCTGCAGATAAAAATAAGTAAAAAAGTTCGTATAAATGTACGTCCTAAAATGCTTAGTTTCGGAGATACAGGGTGTAGAAGTTTCATTTTTATTTCGATTTTTTCCAAATAATTTCTGAATTAACGTCAATATTTGGATGAAAATTGGAGCCTGGGAGTTTTTTGATATGAGAAATTTTATTTTGATGTCAATATGACTCCTACTTGTAGAGGACGCCACCTACATATTTTTTAACTGGTTTGAAGAGTAATAACTTTGCGTCCGTACCTGTATAAAACTACTGAGTAAAAAAATATACCTTTACGACATTTTTTATGTGAAAAAGGTCTCTTGGTAAAAATCGCTACGAGTAATGGTTTTCGAGATATTTGGAATCGAAATTATCAATACCTATCATCATCGACATAAATTAAATATGTTGACTAAATAGTTATTAGACTAAAATCTCTGTATAAGAAATATCTTCAATATATGCCTATCGACTTAAAATAAACTATCGATATTATTTTACCGTTGCTCATTCCTAAGTACGACCAAAATTAAAGTTGATAGTTTTTTCTTCTTGTTTTAACGGTACACCAGTCGAAAGTAAATTTTCGGCGATGGAATTTTGGATGTCAGAGGCGTACCAAAATAGTTTTATTTATTTTTAAATCTGTTCTTCCTCCACCGAAAATATTAGTCTAATTATACTACAAGTAAAAATATTTTCACTTCCTTTTGAGATTCCTGTATAAACTAAACTCTTTACTAACTAAAAAATACTGTATTTTTTCTTTATAATTTGTTCTACGCCAGTGGAATTACTTCAAATATTAGAACAATGAACTTTTATCTGTTGTATGTTTACCAAACCTAGTCGTTGTAGTAAAATAGGTAGTACCAACTCATACACAGGTAAATACAAAAAGATTGTACGCATCAAAGATTTCTTCCTGATAGAGAAGAACTTTCTCAAAATTTACATTTACGTGTGCATGTCAAAAGAAAAAATAATAGTATAACATGAATAAGTATGTAAAGAAGAAAAATGATTTAAATAAAAACAAAATGTATTATATTTTATAAGCCCATTCTACGTATCTAATAACTTTCTCTTCTATAAGTTTACCAGTAAACCCAATATTTTTACAAATAATTTTACTTTGCAATACATAGTTCAGTTACGATTAACAATTTTGGATATAGATCATCTTGCCGAGATGGCGCCCAAAATCGGTATTTTAAAGAGAGTAAAATTAAAGAGAATGCAATTTTATGTAAAAAAGGTTCTATGAAAATGTTCGCTAAAGTCAACGGTTTAGGCACAAAATCTCTGGAAATTTTACAATTTTGCGTAAAGTAAGACATACAGCACAAACTAAATTTTAGGTTAGTCTGTGTATATCAGTGGCGCATCTAGAGATTGAGTCTGGGAGAGGTAGTGTGAATATTCAAAAAAGTACTAAATTTGAATTAAATTTTTGCTCGATCGTATTGTAACCGTGGAAAAAATCTACTTGGATTGGTTTGGATATTCTGTTTTAATTTGTATTATTAACTCTTTTGTAACAATTTTATTTTATACCAAATTTTATCTTATTAATTAATTTCTTTCTGGGAGGGGTAATTGTATAGGGCTTGTTTCTCTCAACAATTTCCTGTTTCACAATGTACCGTTTGTATCCGGGAAGGGTTCATAGTTTCATAGTTGTCGATTTTCGAAAGAAATCAGAACATGTATATTATTTCGTATATTTTTCATTTTATTGATTTTATGGAAAGCACTGTTCATTAAAGTGTTGTATCCTATGTTATAGGGCTCATTTCTCTTTACAATTTCCTGTCTCACAATGTACCGTTTGTCCCGGGAAGGGATCATAGTTTCATCGTTGTCGATTTTCGAAAGAAATCAGAACATGTATATTATTTCGTATATTTTTCATTTTATTGATTTTATGGAAAGAACTGTTCATTAAAATGTTGTATCCTATGTTATAGGGCTTGTTTCTCTCTACAATTTCCTGTTTCACAATGTACTGTTTGTGTCGGGGAAGAGATCATAGTTTCATTGTTGTCGATTTTCGAAAGAAATCAGAACATGTATCTTATTTCGTATATTTTTCATTTTATTGATTTTATGGAAAGAACTGTTCATTAAAATGTTGTATCCTATGTTAAGGGCTTGTTTCTCTCTACAATTTCCTGTTTCACAATGTACTGTTTGTGTCGGGGAAGAGATCATAGTTTCATTGTTGTCGATTTTCGAAAGAAATCAGAACATGTATCTTATTTCGTATATTTTTCATTTTATTGATTTTATGGAAAGAACTGTTCATTAAAATGTTGTATCCTATGTTAAGGGCTTGTTTCTCTCTACAATTTCTGTCTGACAATGTACCGTTTGTGTCCGGGAAGGGTTCATAGTTTCATTGTTGTCGATTTTCGAAAGTAATAATCAAATAAATTATCTTCTTTCTGGGAGGGTAATTACCCCCATTACCCCTCCCTGTATATGCGCCTTCTGGTGTATATAGTCGATTTTCCCGAAATCAAATGTCGATTAGGGTTCACTAAACTAGTTTTAGTTTAGTTTCTTCAATAACAGTCGAGTATCATTAATTCGTTCATTAATTTATGAATAAATAATTGTCGTGCTGGACAGCATTCATTGGGAACTTACCACCAGTTTTAGCATTGGTCTGGTTGTACCAAAGATGCCGAAGAATGGGGTTGAAGAACTGTTCATTAACAGGTTGTATCCTATGTCACAACGTTGTTTCTCTCCAATTTCATAATCCCTATTGTCATGTTTATCGGGTAAGGGATGCAAACCAACATTGTTGTCGATTTTCGAAAGTAATAATTAAAATAAATTACACCAACAAATTTTGCTTGTTTCTTTATGCGATAATTTTTGGCATAGAATACAAAATGGCTTTCCAAAATTTTGTAATAACTAACAGAACTTATTTATCATTCCAAAAGCTTAACAAATCTAACGTATTACAAAATTTTTTCTATTAAAATATGCACTGTTTTGTTATTCATTCAAGGTCAGGTCGGTAAATTTTGTATAATGAAAAATAATATATCTTTTGTTAAAATCTTAATTTTTAGGGTTCCGTACCCAAAGGGTAAAAACAGGAACCCTATTACTAAGACTTCGCTGTCCGTCTGTCACAAAGGTCTATCTTATGAACCGTTATAGCTAGACAGTTGAAATTTTTTACAGATAATGTATCTATGTTGCCGCTATAAGAACAAGTACTAAAAACAGAATTAAATAAATGTTTATAAATAAAAAAGTACTTTCACTAAACATTATCTTTTAAGTAAGAATTTTAGATAGAATCTCTCAAGTCCTCGGTGGCCGCGTGGTTAAAGCGTTACGACTTTACGCTGCTATGACGTTGGAGCCGTAGTAAGACAGGTTCGAATCCTAGTAAAGGCGACTTACGATCTTAAGGCTTACTTACGATCACAAAGTAAAAAATTCAAGTAATTTTTACATCAGGTGTAAATGAAATAAGAATAGACCATAATATATGGAACTAATAGACTATAGATAATTTTTTTTGCAGGTGCTGGGTATCTTTTGTATGTCCCTCGGTTCCCCAGCTTACTATGGTGGTTCCCACTTCTTCCTCTTCGTCGTAGTTGTTAGTTTTATTGGTACCCTTATCTGGATCGTCATATACTTACTTGGCATCAGAGAAGCAATCAATTTTCCAGTAAACTGGTTATTAACGGTAAGTCAACCTAATTTTTAAAGTGTGTTATATTGTCCGTGCTACCGTATGATCGAAAAAAATTGGCTTCCAGTTGGCTGGAAAATGACGATCGATGACATTTCCCATATAAATTTACATATAAAATGACAGCGATCTTTATTTCACAGCCATCGTTGACGCCGTTTTTTCTCGTCGTCATTTTTAAAAATGACAATTCATTCATTTACAAAGTCGTATAATAGACATAGACATAAAAACAAAGACATAAATGATGATTTCCGAATTAAAATAATATATTTTATACAGGGTTGTTCACCACATACGACACGGAATATTGTAGCTAAACGATTACATTTTTACAAATTGTAAGTTTTGGGTTCGTTGAAGGACTATTAGAGCTACAATTAAAAAATAATTTTACATGATACAGAGTGTCCCAAATAAGTAAAAAATATTATAGTTGATTTTTTTTAAATGGAACACCCTGTATATTATTCTATTTTTAGATTCTACGGTTGAAATAAAGGTAAATTTGATTAAGGTTTATCACACTTAAACCTTACCGTTTTTGAAATATTTTCAATTTTGTGAAATTGCAGTATAAATTTTAAGGCTTCATTTCTCCGAGGGTATCGAAATTTTTAATACTAAATATTTACTGAAGTTTATTTATTGATCAGTTATTGTGTTGCAATAATAAAAATTATACTACCTTATACAGAGTGTCTAAAAATTTATTTTATATTATTACTTGTTTAATTTAAATGGAATACCCTGTATATTTTATGAGAATCAGATGCACAATTTAATTGTCTATCAAATTGTATTATACCACTTTTTACCTATCCCTTCAAGTTTTCGGAGAAAATGCATTTTCTTATAATTTAGACCTCATTTATCAATATACCCATGGAATATTGCCATTTTAGATTGTTTTTAAAACAACAAATGTACAAAATATACAGGTGGTAAAAATAATAATATTGCAAGCTCATTTGTTTACAAAAAGAAAACTATTTAAATCTTTGTAAAAGAGTATACCAAGTACTACTAATTATTAATATACCATCATTATTTCCGCCCAAAAATTAGTTATTTACATACTTAATTGTTAAATTAATAAATTATTCTAAATAAATGTTGATTTGACTCAGAAATCAATACGATAATAAGTTATGAAAATGAACGTATTTTTTGTTATAAATAAGCATTTGTCAAAATATGAAATAAATAAATTGGTGTTGCTTTTTACCACACTGTCTAATACACATACAAGATTCAGGTTTTTAGTATTTGGGGGCAATTATTATTAATCAACTTAAACGGTCAATTAATGTAGTTTGAATACTGGAATCATATTAATGGGTCCTCTTTAACAAAAAATATTTAAATATTTTTTTATCTTTTAATGAAATAAACGATCTATACGACAATATTTGTATCTGTACTTTTTGAAATTGTGTTACATCTTTAAAAATCATCTAAAATGTCAATAGTCCATGGGTGTCAATAATAGATTTAAATAGTTTTCTTTTTGCATACAACATTATTGTTTTTAGCCAAACGATAATATTACTAGAATGTCAATATATGATGTCAATATTCCATAGGTGTCAATAATAGAATGTCAATATTCCATAGGTATATTGATGAATAAGGTCTAAATTATAAGAAAATGCATTTTCTACGAAAACTTGAAGAGATAGGTAAAAAATGGTGTAATACAATTTGATAGACAATAAAATTGTGCATCTGATTTTTATAAAATATACAGGGTGTTCTATTTAAATTAAACAAGATTTTGCCGTTTAAAGCTAGTAATTATTTAATATAGATTTTTGGAGACTCGGTATAAGGTAGTATAACTTTTATTATTGCAACACAATGCCTGATCAATAAGTAATCTTCAGTAAATATTTAGCATTAAAATCTTTAATACCCTTGGAGAAATTAAAATAAGAGAAGCCTTAAATTTTTTAGTCAAAATTACCCTTATTTCAACCGTAGAATCTAAAAATAGAATAATATACAGGTTGCTCCATTTAAAAAAATACAACTATAATATTTTTTACTTATTTAGAACACTCTGTATCTTGTAAAATAATTTTTAAATTGAAGCTCTAATAGTCCTTCAACGAACCCAAAACTTACAATTTGTAAAAATCTAATCGTTTAGCTCCAATACTCCGTATCGTATGTGGTGAACAACCCTGTATAATTTTACAAAAATTTATTAGTTATATTTTATTAAGTAGATAAAGTTGAAATATTTTGTAATATTTTATTATTACGAACATCATTAATACAATATTCATTGACATCTGTATATATTTTATTCATTAATTTTATGTACTGAATAAGATATAATGAACAATAATCAAAAAAACTATAATTTTGTATAAAAGTATATTGTAAATATAAAGTACCCTGATCATTATTTAATAAACATAGATAGCAATTATTATTAACAGATATTTATTTATACATTTTTTATATATTTTAGGAACTCGTAAACACTGGAATATGTACAGTATGTTACTTCATCGCCTTCATTCTTCAGTTAATTGTAGCAGCCTCCCTGCACCCAGGTCATTACAGGAGGGGAGCCCAAATAGCAGCAGGAGTAAGTTTATATAAGTTAGAATTTATTATACAGGGTTCTTCATTGTTGAAAATTAAAAAAAAATGCGAAGATGCATGCGGGGGTCAAACCAACAAAACAAAACGTTTCATTTTCAAAAAAAAAAAATCAACTGCTGTCAGGAACGATCAAAATATTATGTAGAGAAATTAATGAAAGAATATTCAAAAAAAATATTTTTTTAGAAAGAGATGATTCCTAGTATCGGTGGATAATTTTGAAATACAACCATTTTTAAACTTCTAACGGTTTCTAAAAATTGTATATCCACAAATTCATCAATCATTTTTTAAGTAGAAGTACCGTATGATCGAAAAAAAGACGTCGAATTGGCCTGGAAATGATGATTGATGACATTCCCCGTATAATTTTACATATGAAATGACAGCGATTTTCAGCTTCTTCCTAGCCAACTCTGATGCCGTTTTTTTTTTCGATTGTATGGTACACAGTAGTGTTTTTCAACAAAAGTATAATCACACTAAACTAAAATAAATGTTATATTTATTTTTCTTCTATATTTTAAACGAAACACCCTGTATATGTCCCATAAATAAATACAGTTTTTAACCAACTTATATATAATTTTTTTTAATTTGAATTTAAAGATTTTTCAATTGCATCTTTTTTTCACTAACATTAATAATTCGATATTATTTGTTGTAAACAAATATATAAATGTAATACGTCCAAGCAAACATTTTAGTTTAATGCATTCAAGAAACGTCATAGACAAGTCTAAGGCTAGGCTATAGAAGCTATTTGCTATCGAGAAATATTTCGACAGAGGCGTACTCATGGATTTTCACTGCCAAAGTTGTTAAATTAAATTAAAAATATATTGTTTTTTATCAGAGATGATATACACGGTGTTTCAAAAAATATGTGCCATCTCTCGCGAGAGGATTCCTTACGTAAAACTAAGTTTAATTTTTTTTATCAACAAAGGTCCGATTCTGCTTTGTTTCGTAGCTACAGGGTGGTAAAGTCTAAATAATCTTTCGATTTTTTATAATTTCCTTCCAAGAACTTTTAGTTATTCGAATGAAATTTTGAGGGTGAAAGTTACTATAAATGCTACATATTTTAATGCTAAAAAAGTGTCGATAAATTCATCAGGGACGTACATATGAGTTATCACTGGAATATTTTTCAAAAAAAAAAACCAAATGTGCGCCACTGACTTTTTTTTTATTTTAATATCAAAATTGTGTAGGCCGTTTAATGCCAATTAAAAGTTATCTCTTGATATTTTGTCGAATTCGGCCTACTTGATGAGATAAACGCAATTTTATTAATCACAATTAATAAAATAAAAATTAAAATAAAATTAATAAATTATATATTTTAAAACTATGCATTTCCATACCCTACATGTTTATAGGAACTTTTTTCATATTTTTTGATGAGGAATTAATGAGTACTAATTTAAAACTTTCGCAAGTTAATGATATTAAATTTTTTTAACGGTTGCTATTAGACTTGGATCAAGGCAAATTAATAAAATTGCGTTTATCTCATCAAGGAGGCCGAAATCGACAAAATATCAAGAGACAAATTTTAATCGGCATTAAACTGCTTACACTATTTCGCTAACAAAAAAGAGTCAGTAGCGTACATGCTTTTTTTAGAAAAATATTCTAGTGATAACCCACCACAGTAATGCACGTCCCTGGTGAATCTGTCGACCATTTTTTACATTAAAATTAAATTTAATTATGGTTACTTCCAAACACGTACAATGGTAGCTTTAAGGGTGAATCCAAAAAAGACAAGTTTTATTTTTTTTTAATTCGTTACTTATTAACTTTTTTTTTATTTTTAGGTTTTTGGTATTTTTAATGCTCTAGTCTATGCGTTTGCCACCTACCTTCTGCACAACGAATGGAAAGGAACAAGAACAAACTGAAATTTCTACCTGATTCTCTTTAAATTATTTTTAAAACTGCGACATACTGTATATCTTGTTATAGTACTGAATTAATGCAACTTAGTTTGTAAGGTTGTTCCATAATTTTTATTTTAAATTGATACAAAATTTGTTCAGTTGAATAATATAGACATATTTATATAGGTTGTAAAATAAAGTTAAAAATATCTTTCTCATATCTTGGATGTCATTGTTATATTTATTATTTTATTGTTTAACATATTTTAAGATCGTAATTATATTTATATTGTAAACGACACACAAAAGGTTTTATTATTATCACAAATGGCTGTTTTAAAAACATTATTTCACAAAAAAATATTATTAGAATCTCATGTTTCATTGTATTCATTATTTTTTTTTAATATATAAGGACTCCACTGTCTTGTTTGTGATGTTACTAAAAGAAAAGGTATATAAACAGGGTGATTCATAAAAAGTGACCTTATTTTTTACAAAGCTCTGTTAAAAATACCTGAGAAATTTAAATTATTTATCTACATTGTGTCCAAATATCTTTGAACGCCCTGTATAATACATTGAATTAAAAAAGAATTAGGTATGTTGTAGAGAAATAGTGTCAAATTAATAGATATTTCATAGCAAATTTATACAATCATTAAAAAATACTAAAGTACCTCTATTTTTTCTGTACAGTTCTGATGATATTTTGCAATAATTATTATAATTATTATTATCTTGTTGTTTTGTATATTCTAATATTTAGAGAGTTAATACTTGAGTCTTTTTAGTTTATATTTGATAATGTTTGAGCATAAAAAATTCTTATATCACTTTCTTTTTATTTATTGTTAAGGATCTAATATTAAATTTTTATTTTTTATAATGTTGTTTTATTTCGTACCTCTATTTTGTATTGGAATTATTACTAATCATTCTTGTTGTTATCAATTTAAGATACAGGGTGTGGAATTTTCCATAAACTTTCTAGGTTCAAATTCACATTAGTAATTTTCGGAGAATATTGAAAAATTTAACTATAAATGGTACATGTGAATCAGACTATAAGGTTATACTAAATCAGTACGAAATAAAAAATTTAAAAATACCTACTTCCGAAGATTTTTGAAAAAAAAAACGGATATTTGCGATTTCATTTTTATTTTTTTTATGATTGTTGACAGACCCCTGACAGTGATAGTTGTGTCTGTCATTTAAAGTCACAGGTAAATTTCACTTATTGGACAAACCTCACATTGTAGGTACTTATACCATCTATATACATATCTTTAAAAATAAAGCTTTTGAAAAAATAACTCTATGTTTACTTAATTTTCTGGGAGTGCTATAATATCCTAGCGCATTCGCCATATTTATTAAACAATACTTTTTTAACCTAAACAATAACACATGTTCTATTAACTATAATTACCAGTATTTTGTTACATAGGCACGTGTTCATTTAGAAGAAAATATCAGAAAAAAAACAGAAACATTTGTTTTGTAAGATTACAAAGTAGTAAGCGCACACTTCAAAATAGAAAAAAAATATGTCACTTATTTTTTTCTCGTCTAGGAGCATCTGTTCCAGATTTATTTTAAATTTTAATCTTCGATTTATTTTGACCAAATAAAAAATAAAGATAATAAATTTTATTTTCCTAGATATTTGTCAGTTTCAATGCCAATCGGTTTTTATTATTTTTCGAAATTAGAGCGATTTAATTTTAAACCGGTTGTGTTTAGATTGGTCTTGTGCCAGATATTTGCAAATATCTGCGAAAACGCAGTTTTCAATAAATATCCACATCTCCAAGAGAGTTTCTCCATATTTTTTATTGACTCTTTTAAACAACTTGCTGGTGATTTATGTATAGTATGGTCAGATAAAACGGAAATCTACAGTCAGCGATCTACGTCTACGAAAATCTACAGTCAGCGATAGACAAAATACCAAGACATGAAAAGATAATTCTGTTAGGGGATTTAAACGCATGAATTGGAAACGAGGTAGTGGATGGAATAAAACAAAAATATAACGAGAACATAACTAATAGAAATGGCGAAATTTTGACCGAATTCTGTGGACAGAAAGAACTGAGAATCACAACACATATTTTCCCTATAAAGAAACACAAATACACCTTCTATGACAATAGAAACAATATATCAATAATCGATTATATCATCACCAATCGAAGTTTCTTACCCCAACAAATAATAGACATAAGAGTCTTATCCTCAGCCAACATTGGAACAGATCACAAACTTGTGCTAGGAAAGATACGAATAGGTGCGCCGCTATCCAAAAAAAGACCATCAATAAAAACTGAAAAATTCAATATAGAATCCCTCAACCACGAAAGCACTAAACAACTTTATTCAAACAGATGCCAAACACATGTCACTCTTAACCCCATAGTACAGTTTGATACTCCTAACACAGCTTGGAACAAACTGAAAGAAAACATCTGCAAAGGTGCTAAAGAAGCTTTAGGAACACGTACTGTATCACACAAGAGAAGACCGAACATTAAACCTTGGTTTACATTAGAAGTCAAGAACATTACAAGGGAAAAGAAGGAAAAATACTTACAATACAAGAAATCTCCAACACCGGAGTACCGAAATATCTATACCGAAATAAGAAACAGGACTAATAATAGAGTACGAGAAATTAAAGAAGAATATTGGCAGCGATTTAGTAGCGAAATGGAGGCGGATATGTACGGAGCACAAAAACGTATTTGGAAGATGTTGAGGGGTTTGAAACGAGAAACAAATGAAACAATACAACTAAGAACAATTGCAGAAGATACGTGGGAAAAATATTTCAGAGACTTATACGCAGAAACAGATGAACCAATGGAAGCACAAGAGACAAGCCAAAGAGATAATACAGAAGATCATGCGCAAATCACTTACAAGCAAGTAGAAGAGACAATAAGGAAACTTAAAAATAGAAAATCTCCTAATCAAGATAAGATACCAAACGAGCTAATAAAAAACGCAGGCACGGCTATCATAGAGGAATACACAAAACTGTTTAACATTATATTACAACATAAGAAAATACCAGAAGAATGGAAACAAAGTATAACAATACCCATTTTTAAAAAAGGAGATAAAACAGACCCAACTTAGAGGAACTTAACAAACTATAGAGGAATAACATTACCGAGCACCTCGCTAAAACTTCTAAGATCATTGCGGACAAAATCTCCTCAATAGTGCCAATAAGCGAGGAACAACAAGGATTCCGAAGAAACAGATCAACTACCGATGCATTATTCATACTCAGGCAACTAGTTGAAAAATCCTTAGAATATAACTCTCCAGCCTATCTGTGTTTTATAGATTTAACAAAGGCCTTTTATAGAGTCCAACTAAAAGACATCATCACCACCTTGGAAAGCAGTAATGTCTCGAAAGAACTCACAGAACTTATCAAGGACTTAAACACAAACACAACAACCCAAATAAGAACAAACTTTACCTTAACGCAGCACCTTCGAACTACAACTGGTATTCGCCAAGGCGACAGTCTTAGCTCTCTGTTATTCAACATAATCATGGATCAAGTAATAAAAACCGTCAAGAATACTGGATTAGGATATCGAATGGGAATGCATAAAGTAAACATATTATGCTATGCCGATGACGCAGTACTTATTGCAGAGTCAGAGGACGACCTCCAAAGAATGCTACAAGCTTTTAACAGACAGGCAGAAAAACTTAACATGCAAATTTCCACAAATAAGACCAAATGCATGACCATTACAAAGGAGCCTCTACGGTGCAAATTGGTAATAAAAAACAAAACTATTGATCAGATAATGTCATTCGAATACCTCGGATGCAAAATTACAAACTCAGGGTTCCTGGAAGAAAAAGTAAGGAAACAAGCCAATAAAGCTGCCGCAATATCAGGACATCTTAAATATCCCATATGGAAAAACAAACATTTGAGTACAGAATGTAAGTCAAGAATATACAAACCCTGCATACGACCAGTGATGACATATGGTGCGGAAACCAGAGCTGAAACATCAGTAACAAAGAGAATCCTACGAACTACTGAAATGAAAACCTTAAGAATGATAACTGGATACACATTGAGGGACAGACAGAGAAATGTAGACATAAGAGAAAAGTGCCAAACAAACGACGTTGTCAGATGGATAAGGCAGAGAAGAAGAGAATGGAATCAGCATGTCAATAGAATGGGCCCCGACAGAATAACCATAATAATTCGCAACAACGTACCCCATGGCAGAAGACCTACTGGACGACCACCTAAACGTTGGCAAGACAGTTGGCAGTCAACCTCGCAAGAGTTGCTTAGACGAGGAGGAAACCGGAACTAAACAGGCGATACGCCTTCTAAAAGAAGAAGAAGAAGATAAAACGGAATATTCTTTAAATAACAGGATATTCTATAGTGGAATTCCCAAGGCAAAAGAAAGCAAGGACGACCTGCTCAAACATGGAGACGTTCCATACTGGATGAGGTTCAACAAGTAGGGTCAACATTGAAGGAAGCAAAAACCCGGTGGAGAGCTTTCACTGAAGCCCTTTGCTCCGCGATTCTATAAACAGGGTGTTTCAAAAAACATGTGCCATCCCTCGTGGGGAGATTTCGCACGTAAAAATAAGATTTATTTTTTATAACAACTTAAGTCCGATTCTGCTTTGTTTCGTAGCTACAGGGTGTTAAAATCTAATTATTTTTTCGATTTATTATAATTTTCTTCCAAATGCTTTTAGCGATTCCAATGAAATTTTGAGGGTTAAAGTTACTATAAATGCGATATATTTTAACGCTAAAAAAGTGTCGACATTTTCACCAGGGACGTCCGTATGGGTTATCACTGGAATATTTTTCAAAAAGAAAGCATGTACGCCACTGACTTCCTTTTCTCTTTTTAGCGAAATGGTGTAAGCAGTTTCATGCCGATTAAAAGTTATCTCTTGATATTTTGTCGATTTCGGGCTCCTTGATGAAATAAATGCAATTTTATTAATTTGCCTTGATCCGAGTCTAATAGCAACCCTTAAAAAATTTAATATCATTAACTTGCGAAAGTTTTAAATAAGTACTCATTAATTCCTCATCAAAAAATATTAAAAAAAGTCCCTATAAACATGGGTATGGAAATGCATGGTTTTAGAGTTACCTACAGGATGTTAAAACTTTTTAAAATTATTTTTTTTTGAAATTATCTTAAATACCATTATTTTTTTTTATTTGAAATTGCTCTAGGTTGGACTAATAGTAATAATAACTAATGGCAATAATATTTAATAATAAATTAAGTAAAATGTATAATTCATTAATTTTATTAATTGTGATTAATAAAATTGCGTTTATCTCACCAAAAAGGCCGAATTCAACAAAATATCAAGAGATAACATTTTCAATGGCATTAAACGGCCTATGATGATTCAAAAAAAAAAAGTCAGTGGCGCACATATTTTTTTTTTGAAAAATATTCCAGTGATAACCCATATGCACGTACGTCCCTGATAAATTTATCGACACTTTTTCAGCATTAAAAGATGTATCACTTATAGTAACTTTTACCCCCAAAATTTCATTCGAATCACTTAAAGTACTTGAACGAAAATGATAATAAATCGAAAGATTATTAAGAATTTAACACCCTGTAGCTACGAAACAAAGCAGAATCGGACCTATGTTGATATGAAAAATAAATCTTATTTTTCATCACGAGAGATGGCACATGTTTTTTGAAACACACTGTATTTACTTCTAATAATAATAGGCCAGTCGCCAAGTATTAAAAAATAGCTTATGGCGGGAGCAAATCCGGACAAGCTGGAATAAATTTTATTTTGTTTAGTTTAGTGGAAGGAACCACGTGCAAAATTTGAACCACCCCCAAAGCCCGGATTTGGCCGCCATCTTGGAAAAAGTGGCTAAAATTTGGTTTATTTTTCATTATTTGTCAATAACTCGATTTCTATCACCTTTAGTGCAAAAAATGTTCAGACCAAAATTAAAGAAGAGGAAAAACTCTATTAAAAAACGTTCTATGTATTTTTTTCCGTGCGATGACCCGTTTCCAAGTTATCTCGATTTAAACACGCTAAATATATTATAAGCAGTTATTATTTTCTCTATTCTAGTCAGTTTTTGTTTTTCCGAGAACCTTACTCTTTTTATTTCTCCATGTATTTTGTGACAACATTTGCGACACCACATCCGCATTATACAGACAAGGAAAATTGAAATTCGTTAATGTTTTAATTAATATTAATATTATAGACAGCTGCACAAACTTTCAAAGACCCAAACGCATCCCCAGAAGATATAGGAGAAGCTGGAGAACGATTTCTTCTTCATCTATATGGATCCAAAAAATGCGACTCACTAGATAAGTACAGATACCAGTTTTTCGTAAAATCTATTACCAAAAGCTTACCAAACCTAGCATCATTACCACCGACCAAAGACGCAGCTCGCTTGCACTCCTTCCGTACGTACAGTCAGGTACAGCTATGGTATGGCAATGAAAAATCACCTCTGGATTCGGGATAGAAAAATTCAAAGAATGGGTTGATGCCCATTGCTACTCCCCAAGATGCAGCTCCCCAAGAATTATTAAATCTGATTCCATGTAAATGTGCCAAAGGTTGTAAATAATTCATCTTGTAGTTGCCGTAAAGCAGGTTTGCGTTGCTCGGTAATGTTGTCAGGGCAAATCATGTTCGAATAGTTTGGAGATGGCAAAATTAGACGAAGATGAGTACGAGGACAATTTTCCTCTCGATAAAGATCAAGGAACAGAATATTCTGCACCTGATGAACCAAATCCGGAATATGATCCAGATATGGAAGACATTCAGGAAGATTATATTGAATAGCCAGTAACATCAAAAAAACGAAGAAACCCTGATGAACCTTCCACCTCAAAAGAAACCTAAGTTGACGACATATGGATTAGGCCTATTGAAAATGGGAAGACCACTCAAAAAAAAACGTGCCGGGTACCTACTTTACCTCAAGGCAGCTCCCTGAGAGATCAGGCGGTTAAACATGATTTTCCACCAGTCGCGCAACAATTAAAATTTAGTCAGCAGGCTACTGCCAACTAGTAGCAAACAAGTTTTTAGGCTTTATGTATCGGGGGTGCCGCTCAAGGTGGTGTGGAAACAAGTACAGTTAACCCCGGATATATTGAACACGTACATTATATCAGACTTTAATTTTGTTTTCGTAAAATTCGATACTTTGGGTAGTCGCACGAAAAAGAACCAGACAACGTTTTTTATAGAGTTTTTCCTCTTCTTTAGTTTTGTTCTCTACATATTTTGCACTAAAATTAATAGAAATCGAGTTATTGACAAATAATGAAAAATAAACCGAATTTTAGCCAATTTTTCCAAGACGGCGCACAGAGGGGATTTTTTCCAAATTCGTGGTCAAAATTTAAAATTCTGAAATGAGCAATATTCTCATAATTAATATTTGAAACGACAGGCAACATATCTATCTATTAAGCTAAAAAAAAATTATTATAAATTTTTACCGTATTCTCTAGTTACGTTGATCCAAAGTTAGCTTTGGCAAGACAAAAATGTTATGCTGGCTGTCATTACTTAAATTTTCGTTACTAATGACGTTTGGTTTTATTGTGTTTCCAATAATTTTTTGCGAAAAGTGAAACATGGATTGTGTACCTTCATGTATGTAGAATAATATAATATTTTACTTAGTAGTATTTTAAAAATGCATATATAAACTTTTATTGGCTTTGTTTTCTATTGTTCAAAATGAAAAAAGAAAAAATTAAGCGTTCATTCGGTTAAGCATTTGGTACCCTATTAATACGTATTAAGCTCAATGCTTTTCACTGTCTTATTTATCAATGCTTAATCTTTAACTGTGTCAAAAGTGACTGCTAGTTTTTGCTAATCTGTTCAAAATAACAGATTTTTGGCTCTAAACGTAATGTGAAATCTACTAATAGAATAAACTGTCTCACTAACAGCCACTTGCATCAACATTTTTTTTAAGAGGCCGTTAGGTTAAGGGTCTTTTAAGTGCCATTTTAACACTGATTGATGACCTGTACGTCACGTCAAATAAATGGCACCTTTAAATTTAATTGTACTTTAGTTAACGGACACTTAAAAAAATGTCTGTGAAAGTGACTGTAAGTGACGGATATAGGCACATATCAATGCACAGCTTAAACCTCTGGGTCTAGAGACTCGAAATTTTGCACAAAGGTTTCTTATACAAAGTAGGCGAGCAATAAAAAAGAATTTTATAAAACTTGAATTTAAAGGGGTTGTAATTACCCTTTCAATATTGAAATGTTTTTTATTTAAGAAACCACTGGTTTCGCGACAAAATGCTTGAACACGTATTTTTATTTTTGTTTTTGACATACGAAGATATTTTTTCCACAACGATTGTCCCATAGGGGGTGAATACAACCCCCTTTTCATCAAGCTGAAACCAATGGGAGTAAAAAGCTGAATTTTGGCTTACGTATAAATTGTTAGGTGTAGAGGTTCAATAAGTAGGGTATTTTTCAAAACCCAAATTTTAAGGGATGAACAACCCCTTAAATATTTTTTATTTAAAAAACTATTGATTTTGGTGAAAAGCGATAGAAAATACGTGTTCAACCATTTTTCTGCAAAATTAACCAATTTTTAAAAAAAAATATATTTTAGGGGTTGTACACTCCCTTAAAATTTATATGTAATGAAAATGAAAAACATAAGAACGAAACATAATAAGAACAATTTGCAAAAAATACATGTGTAAAGATGAAAACTACTGAATATTTTCTTCTAATAATTAATATTACCTCTGTTTCGAACTTTGCAATTTTTTGTCACCCTGTATAGCATCAAAGTGTATAATAGACATTTTCTTAGTAAATATGACTCACTTTTAATGTAAATACTAGTTTCGAAAAGAAATAGTAAGTTTATGCTACAAAAATCATTTTGGCCACGAATTTGGAAAAAATCCCCTCTGTGCGGCGGCCAAGTCCGGGCTTTACGGGGAGTGCAAATTTAATACGTACTTCTCGACACCAAAATAAACAAAATAAAACTTATTCCAGCTTGTCCGGATTTGCTCCCGCCATCGATGCACTTGCCCACTGGCTTAAAAATCAGATTAAAAAATCTCTGATATCAAATATAAAATATAACGTGTAATATTCTCACTCAAACTCAAACTTCGCATGAGGGGCATTTAAAAATTAAAGATCCAAGACAGCTTATTTAATTGACCTATACCAAGACTACAGCAGGTTGACCTCTTTACCTGAAAACAGGTCATGAAAGCTTTCGACCGCGCCCTTCTACGTTTCGTCCATGGTTCTGTGCCCATCCTCAGGGTCACGCTGTCCGGTTTGTTTAACTTTAACCGGCGGCTGGTTAGTTTTAACTGGACGTTAGTAGGTGGCGGGTAGTATTGTACCAAGCAGCAGGAGTAGTATAATCGATCGCCTACTCTGATTCACACAAAAACGACGCAATCGTGCTCGCAGGATTTGTTATTTTCGGAGTCTGACAGAACGTGGTGTTTGTTGGTTTTCGTATTTTATACAGAAAAATCAAGCCTAGGATATCGAGTTTCATTTAATAGAATTCAAATGTAAGTGTTGAATGATTTTTTTTAGAGTTTTTAAACTGCATCTGCATTTTTATGATTTTTTTTCACAAAAAAATAATATAATAGGACTAAATTTAATTTAGTTAAATGCTTCTAAAGCTTATACAATAATATTAAAAAAATAAAGCAATTTTGTTCATATTATACACATACATGGACTAAAAATATAAGCTTGAGTGCATTATTTACTATTTACGTGACTTAATATTTGCATATTTTTTTTATGATTCATTAGAATTACATTAGAATCGTACATAACAGGAAATTAAAGTTATAAGAAACGAAATTAATGTAATTTATATTAAGTTTCTGTAATATTATTATTTACATCTTATAAGTGGATGAAAAATAGATAATAATAAATGTATCAAAACCTTTGATACATTTATTAATAATATTATTATTATTCCACTTGGTGTGGTGAGAAACTCCCGAATAAGAAATAGTTTAAATATTATATTATAAGTATAGTACCGTATGATCGAAAAAAAAGGCGTCCAAGAAGGCTGGGCTTGAATCATAATTTTGCCGCGGGCAATCTCTAGACGTCATTTACTAAAAATTGACATAAAACTCGTCAAAAATTAACACTAGAAATACTAAGAAAGGATAGAACGTTCCCAGACACACAAATCTATTTCCAAAATATTATTTTTTCCCGAAATTTTAAACTACACTATTAAAGAATTTTTATTCAATATAAAAATAAATTACACCCTTCTTAAGGCCAACTCCCAGTAAGAACCATTAAAAAATAAGGAAAAGTAGGGGCCAAGTAAACGATAACGTCTAGGGCTTGATCTCGCCAAAATTTTTATAGGTTGCCAGATTCCTCAGCCGTCTTTGACGTCGTTTTTTTTCGATCATATGACATTCTATCAAAAACTTGTTTCTTTATAATTTTATAAAGCATGCTAATTGTTGTTTAAAAGACGTAGTTAACATGCTGATGTTATTATTTAAATAACAACAACGTCATGAAATTTAGTTAGTTACAAAAACTTTATTTAATAAAAGCTTTTTAATAATAATCAATGTAGAAGATTAGTGGTTAATATAATTATTGAGTAATTATTATTAAGAGGAATACTTGTATATAAAAAATATACTTGTATAATATACATAAACTTTTTATAAACTAAAAGTACATACCTAACTTGTACGTTTATCACCAATATTTGCGAATGCAGATAAGGAGAATACTGCAAATAAAATTTACAGGAATTTTAGATTACTAACAGTGCAAACTCATGATTTAATGTTATTACCCGACCATACCAACAAGCTATTAAGATCGACAAAAAAAAAGTTTTTTTAATTTCATTAAAAATGAGTTATTTGAATGACCTAAATACAAGATATTTTCATGGTGCCCATCTGTTTGTCTGTCTGTCCGTCTGTCTATAAAACGATAACTCAAAAATCGCTAAACCGATTTTAACCAAATTTGACACAAAAATACTTTGGCACCCGAGAATCTGGCCATTAGTTTTTGGTAGGGGTAGGAGGTTGGTAAGAGGGTAAGGGAGGGGGTTAAAAATTTTAAAAAATCGTAACTCCAAAATTACAGTAGCTAGCGAAACGCGGTTTCCAATTTAAGATTAGGAATAATATTTGCAACAAAATTTGTAATAACATCAAACTCAGTCAAAGTCGCAGTTTTTGAGATAATTGAAACTAAAAGAACTGCCTACCAACTTTTTATTAACATAATTTAGTATGGGCGACTATACGTGCCTCCCGGCGCAATTTTTTTTAATCAAATAAAGTGAAATGAATTTGTGAGTAAATTTTCTTAAATATTTTCTTTATAACTTATTTATTTGAATATAAATACGCTCTATTACTCTATAGATTCTATAATATTATAAAGTAGCTCAGAATATCACTAAAAGAAATTCTTAAATTTTTATTTCAGTAACTTTGTATTATGGGTTACTATTATTTATATTTATAGATCTATTCACGAATGGTTTACATCATCGTATGCCCGGTGAAATATCGTGGGTGAGAATCATATTGTAGGAGGATAGACAATTTTATATTAGTTATGCATATTAAAATATATACACCTTTTACGTAATTGCAAACATCTACATTATAATTAATTTAACTCTATGTTCATGTTGTACAGGGTGAGTCAACGATAGAGTAGTCTATTCCATTATCAAAAGTCCATTATCTCTTTTGTTTCAAGGTTTACAAAAAAATGTTTAATATAAAACTTACAGGGATGGTTAAGATACACATTTTAAAATTATTATAGAGTATACAAGGTGCTTCAAAAAAGTGTAGCGGCTATAACATATGTTTTTTTAAATGCAACACCCTATTTTTTATTTTATTTTTAGATTTTGCGTAAAATTCCATAACTTTTTTATATATAATGTTATATATCTAAAATTAATAGTTTTTGTAATATTTCAATTTATTTAAACAAATGTTAAATTGCAGCGTGGTAAAAAATTGTCAGTGGTGCCATTGTTTCTGAAGTTGGAGTACCAAAATTTGGTAGGAGAGTTTTATAGAGATGAAAAAAAAGATATATGTAAAGATATTTTAGTTAAATGATACAGGGTGTTCAAAATATATTTATGAATTTCAACTACTTAAAATTAAAAAATCTCAAATTTTTTAAATGGGACACCCTATATATTATTATTTTTTCTGATAGATTTGACAAAATTCTTCAACTTTTATTAAGTATGTCATATCCCTATTTTTAATAGTTTGCGATTTATTCCCATTTTTTCTATTCTTACCCATATTTTCAATACAATCACCCTATAAAATCATAGTTGCCATGACAAAACAAAATTATTTATTACTTACCTTTAACAGGTAGCTTCATAATTAGTTACAATAGCTGGTATTAGTTAAAATTAATTAACTTTACTCAAATAAACTAAATCGCAGTAGTGAATTTCTTGGTGTATTTCTATATTATGAAAGATGACATTTGGGATTTTTCGTCGGGGCGAATAGCCACAGATTAAGGTAATACTAGATTACCTAATTGCTGAAGACTACTGATATATGAATTTTCTTCGACATACAATAAAGTTTTTTCTCGTAGTAATTCTGGTTTATAATTCATTTGGTAAAACCAATATTACTACTGCCGCGAAACCGTCCCATTACACACTGAAGATGTTTTCTAGATAATACACATCTATCCTTATAGTAGTTAGGTAAACCTAAATAACCAAAACATGTGGTTTTCTAAGCTTGTCCGTGTATATCCATCAGATTGACTAATTATTAATTTCAAGAACATCTGTAACTATTATCTCTACCATTTATACTTATTACAACAAATTAAACTAAAATCCTAATTTTGTTTTTAACTTGCTTAACAGACATTAAATTGTGATAATTATTTCTTTTTGTCATGGTAACTATGATGTTATAGCGCAATTGTATTAAAAATATGGGTAAAAATAGAAAAAATTGGAATAAATCGCAAACTAATAAAAATAGGTATATGGCATTCTTAATAAAAGTTGAAGAGTTTGGTAAAATCTATCAGAAAAAATGATAATATATAGGGGGTACCATTTAAAAAATTGAAATTCCTTAATTTTAAGTACCTAGTTGAAATTCCTAAATATATTTTGAACACCCTGTAACATCTAACTAAAATATCTTTACATAGGTCTTTTTCTATATCTCTATAAAATTCTCTTACCAAATTTTAGTTTTCCAACTTCAGAATCAATGCCATCATTGACAATTTTTTAACCCACTGCAACATTTGTTTAAACAAATTTAAATTTAACAAAAACTATTAATTTTAGGTACCTATATAACATTATATATAAAAAAGTTATGGAATTTTGCGCAGAATCTAAAAATAAAATAAAAAATAGGTTGTTGCATTTAAAAAAACATATGTTATATTCGCCACACTTCTTTGAAGCACCCTGTATACTGTACAATAATTTTAAAATGTGTATCTTAACCATCTCTATAACTTTTATATTTAATATTTTTTTTGTAAACCTCGAAACAAATGAGATAATGGACTTTACTCTATCGTTGACTCACCCTGTACATCAAATAAGGGAAAAAATGTATAAAATAAAGATAACTTTATGTATTTTTGAGAACTATTTTCAATTAAAACAATAAGCCATACAGCTTGTGGAATTAAAACCATACCTGCTAGAATAACTGTCAATAAGCCCGCATCTTTTAGGCAAAAATCTACGCTAAGAAAAGATACGTACAACTTATTTTAGACAGGAACTATCAGAAACAAGAAATAGCCCTCTTATCCGATAGTCAAGCAGCCTTAAGGGCGATCAACTCAATAACCATCAATTCGAATTTAAAGTTGGTGACAGGATAGCTAGAGAAGCTGAACAAATCAGGCAAAGAAAATGAAATCCTCCTACTCTGGATGCCTGTTAACTAAGGGGTAGAAGGTGATGGAAAAGCAAACGATCTAGCTAGAAAAGCAGCCAACACTCCACAAGAAATAGTAACACAATAATAGATCTATAAGGTCGCGGTGATTAACAGTCTACTAATCTACAACTATCAATACATTGATTACTACACACACCGGAAAAGTCTAGGGATATTACAATTTTATCCAGCCATCATCAGTAATTTTATTATTTGCATTTCTGATATAATAAAATTAAAATAAACAAATAGTTTACAGGACGTATTGGAAATAAAAATGCGAAATTTACCGAATTTTTCAAATTTACCTTGATTTTTATTGAACTCAAAAAATATACACATTTTTTTATTCTACACTGTGAATTAAAAAAAAAGATAAAACCATTTTTACTTAATAAAGGGTATGGCCTCCTCTACTGTTCATTACAGCCCTACATCGTCTATCCATGCTCCTGATCGGGTTGTCGATCTCTTCTTGAGGTACAGCCTGCCACGCTGCGTTCACGGCCCGAACCAGATCCCTACGAGTTTCACGAGGCATACCCATTCTCAAAATTCTTCTTTGGAGCGAGTCCCATACGTGCTCGATGGGGTTGAGGTCAGGAGATTGTGCCGGCCAGGGTAAGATGTTTAATTGATGAGCATTGATAAACTCACTTACCACTCTGGCTGTATGAGGCCGTGCATTGTGATGCATGAAAATAAAGTTTCTCCCAAAATCATTGGCATATGGTAACACGACAGGCTCAAGAATTAAATCACGATATTTGATTTCTGTTAGAAACCTTTCAAGAAAAACGAGATCGGTTTTTCGGCCTAACTGGACTCCTCCCCAGACCATAACTGTTCCACCTTGATAAGGGTGCATTTCCTGAACATGATCCAACCGAATAAGATTTCCCGGTTGTCTCCATACCCTAAGCCTTCTCGAATCCGGATGAATTCCAAAGCGTGACTCATCAGTGAAGAGAACATTGGCCCATTGTTCATTCGACCACTGAACATGATCTTGGGCCCACAAATATCGTACCTCTCGATTTCCTCTCGTTAAGGGTTGATCTCTCCAGGGGCGTCTGCTTCTTAAGTTGACCTGTCTTAATCTATTGCGAACAGTGTCAGGACTAACGGTTACATTATGTGTTTCCTGGAGAATTAAACTAAGCTCTGGTGCTGTAAGAGTCGGTCGGCGCGAGCATTTAATTGTAAAAAATGATCTTGCTGAGGGGTAGTAATGCGATGTCGCCCTGTGTGCCTTTCAGCAACATCACCACTTTCACGGTAGCGTGCACTTAATCGCAATATTACACTTTGCGTTGTATTTAATGCTCTAGCTACGTCGATTTGGCGCATTCCAGCTTCGAGCATACCCATGGCCCTTAGCATTTCGTGTGTGTTAAGATGTCTACGCTCCCATAATGTCGTTTAATACTAAACAGAGTTATTTGAATGAATTTTGGCCAGTTATCATAAAAACATAGCCAGTACAGGTTAAATTCGAACAATTGATGCTAGGTGCTTTTTATACATTTGACAAAAAATGCACAAACACTTCTGCAAATATCTCAAATTTAGAAATAACTAGTGTGACTACATCGTTTCAATCAAAGTAGAAAGAATCGGCCTACAAATATGTGGTTGTTTATTCAAAACATTTATTTTTAACTTTAATAAAATGATATCCCTAGATTTTTCCGGTGTGTGTATCTTTCTTGTGGTTATCCTGTATAGCAAAACTTGAATAATACTTATTTATATAACTGTGACTTAATAATTATCTCATATATACCGTATTTTTATTGTTTTTCAGAGTAAATAGGTCACAATGTCGCATACAGTGACCGTGACAAGGACGACCACAACCACCACTACTTCTGCCATCATTATCAATTCCGGCTATTTGAAAACATGGCCTGGATTACTTAAATTGGCACAATTGGTAAGAATAGAACTTCTTTTTAACTGAAAATTTAAACATTTTTACAAGAAATTTCCAAAAAATATAAAATGTTTATCTTTTTACGAAAAAAAAGTTCATAGACGTGTTTGTTGACTGAGGTTAAAATATACCACCCCGATTTTTTCTTTTCACCCCGTATAGTTTATGTAATAAAAAGTTTATTTCAAAATACACGGTTTCGATTTACGCTGTTTTCAAGGAACGTAATGTAAGAACAGCGTAAAATACTTAAATAAAATTTTTAAAAAATATTGATCTGATTTCGCTTTTAATTCAAAAGAAACGCATTGTATTAACAAGCTGAAACTGTATAACGTATGACCCTTCCAACAAATGAAGCAGGTTGATCTTGACCCAAAATTTACAAGGTATTCTTCCAATTTCTCTAAGAGGATTATTTGTGTTTTAATCATAATAATTGTATGCAAAACTTGTTTACTACAAAGATGGACACGTTATTTTTGATATATTACACAATTATTCTTTTTATAATAATAATATTACAAAACAAAGCGATTTAAATAAAAAAATACATGAGTAATATTTAATAATAATTATTGTTTGAAAGCTAGAATTGAATTTTAATACAATAAAATTCCCAAAGATGCTATAAATTCAGAGACTGTGAATTTTATTGGGAAAATTAGATGTGCACACAAAAAATTATGATGTATGCTCTTTTCCTGGTGGGGGTGGCTATACGAAAAGGTAGAAAATGAGAAAAGAAAAAAAAGAGATGTTAAGTGAACCCTAAAAAAACTTTTATTCGAAATACTGACGATTTGAACACTACTAAAAGTCATGACAGATTTGTTTAGAGATACATAGTTCTCAGCACCACACTATATTGACGATTTTAATTATTTCGGCGTGTGGAAATCGGTAGATTATGTTATTCCCGTGATTCTTGAATTCATATCCTTCAAAATACAAGAATAACCACGCTTGAAAATATCCAGGTGATGTTTTTTACCACTTTATGACTCTCCCATTTACTTATGTCACTTTTAAATCACAATAAACAATAATAAAGATAATAGAAATTGGACTTTTCAGTTCTAAAAAAAATGTTATAGAGTTTTTAATATTTGTAAACTGTTTTTTATCAGATCTTGGGCATAGTTACCGTGGGAATGGTCTCCTTTTACATCCAGAAGTATCAGAACATGATCCAGACTCCAGAACTGTTCTTCCTTATTGTGGCAACTATTTTCATGGCTGGAACATTCTTTCTACTACTTTCCTGTCTACTATCCATAGCTACGGCATCAATATTACCCAAAACGATATATGTAAGTATGAAAATAATGTAGTAACATAATAACAGTTTTTACTCCTCTCAGTACTATTAAAAAAGACATTTACCTCTACATTCTGTCTCTGTCTGATCACTGAGTGTTGTTATAAACTTTAGTACGACTAAAATCAGAAATAGAGAACTAACCTCTGTAAAACCGTCTTAGATACTGGCTTTTGTCAAAGCCCTGAGACTGTTATGATGAGTTATAACTCAAGAACTAGACCTAGAAGGTCGCGGTGATTAACTTCAATCCATCGGTGGTTTTAAATAGAAAATACATTATTTTAAATAACAAAATGGTTCATACAAGTAATATAGTTTCAGTACAACCCTGGTAAACTTTACAGACGATATTATTGACAGAAAGTCAAGGTCCATTACTCGTAAATTATTTTTATTACTACTCTGCGTGGAGAAATACGAGCTGGTGATCATCATTTTCGTAATTGGCATATAAAAATAGCGTTTGGGTCTCCTTGGGAAATTCTTTTTATCCCGCATCATCGACTAATCGATTCGTTCCGATGCTATTTATTTCGTAATGTTGTTGTTTTTTGACATTTATGCATATTAACAATGATTTAATAAAGATTTCTTATTTATTTTTACGTTATTGTCCAAGGAAGCGACAAATTTGTGTAAGACAGGACGAAAAATAGATATCAATATCTTGTCTCATCTTTTTCCCTAGATTACATACAGAATTTCCCACACTAGTCCGAAAAAGTGGCAAAATAAGCGTTCGGCATTTAACGTTTTATGTAAAACTGGCTGGGTATTTTTACACAAATGAAGAAGGAAATTAAAGATAAAGGATTATACTATATCCGTATTGTAGCATATTTTTAGACAACTTCTTTGTTTTTAAGATTTTGATGGTCAATCATCAACAAAATATTCCTTATGTTTGGACTAAATTTTCTCGAAAATAAAGACATAATTTAAAATCCCCTTACAAACGGAAATAGATTGAAGTTTTGTGATTACATTGATATATAATTTATATGGTTTTGTAACAAATTGCTCTCTATTTTATGGCAAATGCTGAAGCTCTGCAAACCTTAGTCAAGCCTTAATCCAAGCACGTGTGTTTGGAATTTTGGGTGTGGCTTAACACGACAGGATCGGGCTAAGCCTTAGGCAGGTTTCTAAAATATAATATATATTTCCTTCGGCCCCACACTCGCTTTACCAGACCCCTGAGAGCGACCCGAACAGTACAGCGAATATACTTTTAAATGTTAATTTTTTTAGTGCAATGCTTTAATAAATCCGTAATTATCATAATATATGTTTTTTCTCTTTTTCAGGAAGTAATATACCACGGATTTGCATTCTTGTTTCTACTTGCCGCAGGATTGACATTCGTCGTTTACGTGAATCAAAAGAAAAATTCTTACTACTATGACTATGATGCCTATTTAGCTGCAGCAGTAAGTACTTTTAAACTTAACATAAGTCACCCAGAGACTATAGTGAAAACCTATCTCAATTTTTGAAGTGAAACTTCTTTAGGTCGTAACACACGAGCTAGCGTCAGGAAAAGTGGTAACGGCAGTGTTGCCACAGCTACCACAATCGCGGTAGATCTACCCCTTTGTAATACCATATTACATATCGAGGCGGGTAGTGTTTCATTACTGTCGAGAGATTAACTAAATCTCGAGACAATAATGAAAACTTTCCTGCGAGGTTTGTATACTATTTTATTTACAAACCACATCATTAATCAAAAATAGGGACAGTATTTTATTTTGAAAGAAAAAATAAATATGCGAAAATTTGTCGTTTTCTGTTTTGGCATTTCCATATCTATAGTTACCGGTACCAATGGTTGTTAGGGCGCAAACCTTCAACAGCAAAACAAACAACTAAGTGACAGTTTTGAATTTCTCGTTCGCTTTTTCAAATTTATATAACATAGAAAGCCAGAATGTTGTCGGGAAGTTCTGATATAGTCTATAAAATGAATAACTTTGAATTTTGACCGTTATATTTTACCAACATGGCAAATATAAAATCCCGCTGTCAAAACAGTTACTGATATTCTTTAAATTGAGTGCCTGAACGAATCAGATAGGTAACTCTTTTTACTTTCGTGAAATAGAAAAGGAAAATGATAAAACAAGTGACTCTTCTTCTTCTTCCTCTTCTTGCAAAAATCAACACGAAATGTCTTAATGTACAAAAGTAAAATCTCATCAGCTTTTGACATTTCTAAATATTAGACCAATGCCGTCTCTAATAGAACAGCCTCGGAGCGAGATTTATGACGTCACGCTAGTTAGATACTACGGATTAATAAATATGTTGGAGAATACATGGAAAACAATTATTCCTCGTATTTTTGGTTTGTATTTTAAAAATGATATAGTTTACAAGAAATATACATAATATACAGTTAATAAATACAATATAATATATACCTATTTATAGTAATAAATGCTTTGGCAAATAAACTATGAACCATACAAATGCAGCAAATGTTTTACAATATACAAATAATGAATAGGTGGTACATAAGATAATGGTTAAAATATAAAATATATTTTAAATTTTTGGGTTCGAAAATCGATCTAATTAAACAAAACACATTCAATATCTACTAATAGTGATTATTATTTGCATTCACAAAATTTATTTATATATTATAATGTTCACTGCAATTAATAAACTAATATAAACTTGTCAAAAGATGACCACATAGTTTTTTAAATTATTATTCTTAACACAAAAACTATCTACATTGACTATGGAGTACGATTTCAGCCATATTGTAAAACATTTGCTGCATTTGTATGGTTCATAGTTTATCTATGAGAGGGTAGAAAACGAAAGCAATCGGCTCGGTCTGGAACTAAATACGCAAAAAACCAAAATCATGATAGTTGATAGGCCACATAACAACCATCCAAATATAAGTCATATCGACCGCTTTGAAGTCGTTAAGTCATACGTATACCTGGGATCACTATTGACAAATACAGGGACATCGGAAGAAGAGGTGAAGCGTAGGTGCAACATGGCAAAGGTAGCTGTTGGGAGACTGACCAAGATCTGGAAAGACCGCCAGATTTCAAGAGCCACCAAAAACCGGCTAGTCAACTGTTTGGTACTCCCAATATTGACGTATGGCTACGAATCGTGGACTCTCAGGCAGGCGGAACGTAAGAAGATCGATGCTACCGAGATGTATTGTTATAGACGTATGCTCCGTATCCCATGGACTGAACGCCGTACAAACGTTTCCATTATAAATCAACTTAATATTACTAACAGGCTTTCCTGTAAAATCCGACTAAAACAACTAAAATATTTTGGACATATAATGAGGAAAAGTCCGGACAATATGGAAAGACTCATAATTCAAGGCAAGGTGGAGGGACGTAGACCACGTGGCCGCACTCCAACTCGATGGATAGACCAGATCACGACTAGCTGTAGCAAGCCAATGCACGATGCCATCGAGATGACAAAAGACAGAGGCGCATGGAGAAAAATCATCCATGATATTACGCTGACCACTACACTCCCTAATGGGGGTCAGGACTGAAGAGAGAGTTTATCTGCCAAAGTATTTATTATCTATATATTATCTATAGGTATATATACATATATTGTATTTATTAACTGTATATTATGTATATTTCATGTAAACTATATCATTTTTAAAATACAAACCAAAAATACGAGGAATAATTGTTTTCCATGTATTCTACAACATATTTATTAATCTGTAGTATCTAACTAGCGTGACGTCATAAATCTCGGTCCGAGGCTGTTCTATTAGAGACGGCATTGCGTCAGCATGGCCGCAAGTTGCTAACCAGAGAAAAGTAGGGGGTGATATGAAATAGCATTGAAAGTATACCGGTGTGCCGAAAGAAATGTTAAGAATATTGCTTCGGAGACAGTCTTGATGACATATTTTAGCGACATGGCAAGGCAGAAAAGCTATCTACTCTTTGGGCTACGTACAGCATGATACGGACAATGCTAGAATTAAGGGAAAAGACTGGCATATGAAAATATCACAAACTCGTCGCTTTTTTAAAACGCCAGAATGTAGGTTTTAAGCCAAAGAAGTCTAGCATTTTTACCAGTCACAAATAAATGTATTAAAATCTTCAATTATTATTGTTAATCTTCTTGTTTATTTTTGTTGATGTTAGATAAGTATTTAATAAAGATATTACAAGAATATTTTGCACACTTATGAATATTTTGAATATTACACACATAGTGCACACACTGATTTTTTTAAAGCAACACACTGTATATTATTTTTCACAACAGTATCATAACAAATCTGAGAAAAAAATGTTGTAGTCGTATGTATAGTCACCGGTATAGTTTACGTATTAATAAGAAAATAATAGTTTACTCTTCTGGTAGGCTTTTTATTTAATATCTGTATTTTTTTCTAGATTTTGGGATTGGTCAATGCAGCTCTATACTTAGGCAGCACTATTTTCGCCCTAAGAAGCTACAGGGGACTGTAAAAAACTTCTGCCCAACTTTGTTTTAATTTTACTTAAATTAATTTATTGCTAAACAGACAACAAGACTTGAATAGAAGATAATATTACGAAGTAACTTGTACACCACACGAAAAAAACTTATTTTTCAATAATATACTCAACCTAATATTTCTATACTGTTATAAATGTATACAATGACTTTTTTTATTGATATTTGTAAATTTGTTGAATATTTTTGGTGAATATCTATTTAATTTTTTTTTTTGAAATTTTAAAGCACAAATAATACCGTATGATCGAAAAAAAATGGCGTCCAGTTGGCTGGGAAATGACGATCGCTGTCATTTTAAATGTAAATTTATATGGGAAATGTCATCGATCGTCATTTCCCAGCCAACTGGACGCCGTTTTTTCTCGATCATACGGTATAATTTATTAGTGAAAATACAGGGTATCTCTATAATAAGTGCAGGTTTTAACTGGTAGTATATTTTTGTAAAAAGAATCGTTGAAAATTTTTCACTTTTCTTGATATTTTCCGGGAAATTATATAAACAAACTTTTATTTTCAACTTGTGTTAAAAATGGTAAACAGAAAATATGTTTCTTTTGTCTATACCTAATACCACATAAAATAATTGCAGTTATTTAAGAAAGACCCTGTATAATAAAGAGAAAATGTAATATTGCTAGGGCTTTATTTGTTGCAAAAAAATAATACATAATTTATTAAAATATTAATTTAAAAAACCACCACAAACCAGTAATATGTTTTTAAAACAATGATATTTTATAATAACTACCGCATAAATTATTATTATTCATGTTTATATACACTTATATGTTTTTTGATATACTCTTGTGAACGTATTTTGACATTTTTTTTGTGATTTGTACTTAAATCTAAAAGAAAACGATATATAAAAAAATCACAAATAATATAGGTACCTAATAATTTATTTTAGAAAACTTTATAAATATAAAGTAATGTTGCTAGAGCTTTACACAGTTGTGACAGAATAGATAAAATAGTTTTTTATAAAACTCCTTATATGGCTGCCATGTATAACAATTCTCTATGTGCCTTCAGTGTTAGCGAACTATTGCAAGATTTTAACTATATATTTTGTTACTCTGAAATAAAAAAAAACAGTTTTTCTTTGTAAAACGTTGTCTTTTATTTATATCTGTAACGTCATATAAGTAATAGGTACTAAATAGTGATCTTTGTAATTTTAATACAAATAATTATAATACAATTAATATATACTTAATTAAAAAATAAAATAAAAAATGGTATTCTGACTAGAAAAAGTACAAAAATAGAAAAACAAAAAATAGAATATACTAAAAATTTTAGTATCTGTATCCCCTAAAGTATCTATATGATTTGTAGGCGTCATATGCGTATAGTAGTCCTAAAATTGAGCCAGCTACCTAAAAATATACCATATTAAAGAAATTATATCACCCAAAATGAGTTTTTTGCAACGGCTATTAAGCTATCTTGTACCACTTCGCACTAAAAGAAGTACTAAAAAGAACATGTTCTACTGCAAGGTCTACTAGTAAAAAGTTTTAAGCTTAATGCAAGCTTAATGTATCACAACACATTTAAACCAAAAGCTCGTAATACAAAACGAATGACAACGTCAAGAAAAAAACATAAAAAAATGTGGCAACTTGACATTTTTTACAGCAGAGCTACCAACTGAATCCCCAGCGGGAAATTTAAATTCGTTAGTCAGTATAAACATTTATAACGATATAAACGTTTTTTTTTTTACTTACATATGCAGCACTCATAGCAGGGTACGCTTGGTAGTGGGGTGTTATCCAATACAGTGGTTCCAGTACTATGTTTACCACGTAACCGAGGTAAGAACAAGTACTAATATATGTAAATGCAGACACAGTGTTAAATAGAACCTCCTGAAATTACAAATGTACATCAAAGAGGAGGTAACTTTTATACTCGAATGTTAGTTTTGTAAAAAAATATTATTTTTGTATAAGTACTTACAAATAAGGATGATTTGATGAGTCCTATTGATTTTGGTGAAAAAATATAACACACTAGCAGCATGAAAGTTGTGGAAAGACTCCAGGCAATGTTGGTTACAAAGGATTGAAATGAAATTCCTATAAGCGCCGATGATTCTGATCCATATTTTAATGCCAAACTTTGACAGAAAAATCCTATGATCTAAAAAAAATTAAAAAAATTGTCAGTGTTGCTACGGGGCTACCCCTGCAACAGTGCTTAGGATATCTATAGCTCCTATAATAAAAATCTAAAGAATTTGTTTAAGAAAATATTTCTAGTTGTACAGGGTGGGTCAAATTCGACGCTTTTAAATGGAAACACCCTTTTCTGTAGGAGATAGACAAAAACTAATATCGGTGTCTGGAGCTCAATTTTTGTCAAAAACATGATGGCGAAAACCGCATATCGATATCTGTTACCGTTTCGGAGTTACAGGGTGTTTTTCAAAAATATGCATTTTTAACAAATCGCTGTAACTCTTTTGCTATGGAAAATTTTGTATTTTATGAAAACATTTCCAAAGCACCTTTTTACGTAGAATTTAATGGTTTAAGTATAATTTTTCTAAAATTAATATTTTAAGAATTATCAACAAAAAATTTGATTTTTTATATGGGACACACTGTATATTTTTAATTTATTGAAAAGAATTTAAAATTACCTTTCCAAAAATATAACATACTTAATATTTTGCTCGATTCCTCTTCGAGATATAGAGTATATAAAAATTCGCCCGCTTTAAATAAGTAGGCTTTGAACGGCACCGGCTGTAATGCAAAAAATTCTAGCTGTGAGCATCAATTAAAACGAAAATAATATTTGCTATGAGAGATGCAGAGTTTTATAACAATTTAAAATATATTTAACCAACATCAACACATTTAAACTATATCTAGTAACAATAAAAATAAATAGCAAACCAAGACATGAGATTTTGCTACAGGTGTTCGACATATCGACCGATATCTGTTATGGACAGAGGGGGCAGTTTTTAAACATTTCTCGCGGAATTCATTAACTCAGTGGGGTGAAAGATACCCTCTCATAACTGCTAAGTATTTCTAATTCTTGTCTAGATTATACGGAAGAATAAGGAACCTTTATTCTTTCGCAAATATATCAATAGGATTAGATCCATGGGCACTAAGTCAGGCGGCCTCGACGGCCAACTGCTGGGATCTTGGTTAGCTATTCAAATATTCTTGAAATTGGCTGCAAAAATTTGCTAATAACTTCAGCGTTCAGAGCCGGTGCGTCGTCTTGCTGGCAAAATATGTTTTCGAGTTCCATTAGAGGTATATCATCAATAAGGGGTCCAAAGCCTACTAGTTAAAAGTGGCGAACTTTTAAAAATTCTGTATTTCGAAGAGGATTATAACAAAATATCAAGTGTGCTATATTTTTGGAAAAGTAATTTTAAATTCTTTTCAGTTAATTAAAAATATAGAGGGTGTCCCAAATAAAAAAACAATTTTTCTGTTGATAACTCTTAAATTATTAATTTTAAAAAAATTATACTTAAACCATTAAATTATACGTAAAAAGGTGCTTTGGAAATTTTTCATAGAAATACAAAATTTTCCATAGCAAAAAAGTTACAGCGATTTGTTAAAAATGCACAGTTTTGAAAAACACCCCGTAACTCCGAAACGGTAACAGATATTGATGTGCGGTTTTCACCATCATGTTTTTGATGAAAATTGAGCTCCAGACACCGATATTAGTTTTCGTCTATCTCCTATAGAAAAGGATGTTTCCATTTAAAAGCGTCGAATTTGACCCACCCTGTACAAGGTATATAAAAAAATAAAATTTAAAATATAATTCTTAAATAAAGAAATAAAAATGTGCTTGATCCTCCCTGTATACAAATAAGAAATATATTAAAAATATTTCTAAATAAACCTATACAGAGGCCGGCAATAGTGCGTCGAGCATCTGTAGCTCCTAGAATAAAAAACTTGGGAATGTTGTTTAAGTGTCAACCTAAAGTATGTACTAGGATGTATTTCAGGAAAATATAGGGTGGCTCAAAAAAGTGTGAGTGGATCGGGATGATTTTTTAAATGGAACACCCAGTGGCGGACAAAGCCTGACGGGGGCCCGGGGCGGCAAAGCTAAATGTGGCCCCCGGTCTGTTTAGGTAATGATATACTTCTAATGCACATTTTGTAAAAATTGAATGACGTATGTATAATGGTTGACAAAATTCAAGTATTTATACAGGGTGTCCCAGGCTGAGCCTGCGTTAGAAGTTTCTAGAGAACTACAATATCTAGATACGAGATTTTGTGCATATCATTGTTTCACAATGAGATCTATCGATTAAAAATATTTTCAATATGGCGGCACTTTCGAAAGTACCGGAAGTTGACTGCAACTTTCTTATTTTAAATGGGTGACCCCATTTTTATTACATACTTAAATTCTCTGTAAAATTTTATGAATTTTGATATTAAACACTCTATACCTAACGTTAACCGTTTTTGAGAAAAAAAAAATTATAATTTTTAGAGGAAAAAAACTGCCTGGCAAAAATATGTATATAGCCTAAACGTCAAATTTAATGATTGCCACAGCCCCTGTACCATAAAGAGAAGACATTTGGCTATCTATGTCAAAAATTAAATTGCCCGAATGTCATATAATAATGGCCGCAACTGTCATGGAATTGAGCGATTAAAAAATGATCATAACTTTAAAACATTTTTTTTCAAATGGAAATCCACTTTTTTATTTCACTCGTGAAAAGGCTTTCGTTACTTTCATTTTTAAAATTTGTTACTTTTTGACTATACATGTTCCTGTACCTAAAATAAATCGTTTTTAAGTTATTTAAGATTTAGCTTTAAAGCGTATATTTTTCTTGATTTTAACCAGTAGCCTATGACAGTATATTATCGATCATCATTTCCACGCTAACTTTGCCCTGTTTTTTTTTTGATCGTACGGTATTATTAAAATATCTACTATTAGATATCACTAAAGAACGAAATACGAGATATATTTATATAAATACACTTTTTAAACTTTTAAGGCAGCAGTAGTTATAATATAGGAAATTCAAATAATTCATATTCTGACAGAGGAAATAAATTGTCTGACTGTTTGACACTAAAAGGATGCTAGATAAAATCAAGAAA